GACAGGGAATAGAGGAGTGGTAAAGAAAGTAACAAGCACTAGAGACACGCAGGTCTTCCAACATAAATGCATAATCATTTTGGAAATTACCTTTGACCGTGTTTTAATTCATGGGTGAAACCAATTTTTTCCATCCAGTTCTCTAAAAACTTGAATATTTTAAATAAGAATACTAATTGTTGATGAGATTTTAAAAGGAGTATCTTCTTAAGAGTCCTAGAGTTCCTAAATTAAGATTTTACATTTCTCCCTATTTCAGAGGCTTATGAATTAGAGAGAACCTAGATACTTCTATTTCCAGAGTATCCAAATAAAACTTCCTCAAGAGTAATGTAAAATACTTGCCAGAAAAAGTATCAAAGTTCAGGATGATAACAAAATTAGAGACAAATAAAGCTTGAGAAAGCAACTGGAGAAGAAGGACAAAAAGAGCCATGTGCCCCTTCTGATAGAAGTGTGTTTCACATATGCTAGTTTCTAGGGAGAAAGCACTAATCCTGTATACAGAGGCCACCTCAGCTGCTCCCCTCTTCATCAGAACAATTCATGTCAAAAGTTCCTCTAAGGACAGTTTTTGCCAACCAGCTGTTCTCCTCTCATTGTAGGAAGTCACCTCCTTTGCTCTTTGGCTTCCTGGACCTCCAAATGAGTTATGAATAGACTTGTGCTAATGATACCCTAATAGTGATACCACAATCACAGTGGTGCCAAATGTACTCAGAGAAATTACTGTGTGGTAGGTCTATTAATCACCTTATCAAGCACTACAGCCTTAGGAACATTCTCTCTGTAAGAGACAAATTTTAGTATACAGCTTTACAAAGTTTTCATTTTCACCAGAGAGCACATTTTTTCCAAGCACCTTGGAATAGATATCAATACCAATAGAACAGATACTGAACACACATTAAGCAGGATAACAGCAGAATACACACATATGGAGAATACATGCATATTTTTCTTAAACACCTTTTTAAAAAATTGATCTACTGTCATAACCAATGACAGTCACATAAAAACAGGCACAGATCAGTCAACTGTGCAACAAACCTGAATTTTGCAAAGTGCCAGCACACGTGCAGAATACTTCACCTGCCCTTCAGACTGTGCTGCTTTGCTTTTCTTTTTGCTTAGTTTCTAGCTACTGCCCCATTCCAGAAAAACATGATGGAGGATATGAGATATATTCTTCCCATTATGCATTCAGCCAGACATTTTACGACTTCCGTAAATATGTATCAAAGAGAAGAAAATGCCAATCCTATGAAAACCTATGAAAAACTTTGGCTCATTTTTATGGTTTGTCAATCTAGCAATTAGATTGTTCAATTCTAGCAGAGTGTAATTCTGCTTCTAAAAATGTACACAAAGATCACATGTAAATTTATTCTACACATTAAACTTTATCAATCTTGGTGCTGTGGCAAAAGGATAAACCTCTGTAAATATAAATATAAACCAAGAATCTGGAATTTTTTAATAAGCATATCCAGTATTCCTCGAAAAAATGGGCCTTAGCTTTATGTTACTAAAATGAAACAAAAACAAGGCTTCATTTCTGGAAAATTATGTAATAATGGTCTAGCAAGTTTACCTTACAGAAAATCAGGCAGTCTTGTTACAAAAGGGTTAAAGTTTGATTAATCTTAGATTTATCTTTCTTTTCAAAAATTTTTGCAGCACTTCTAATGTTAAACACCAATGAACCTTAACCTGCTGGACTCATTCAGCAGCAGTTTGCACCCACAGAAGTTTAGATCACAGACTAAAAGTTTACATCACTTACTGTCTCTACTATTTAAAATCAGCTTTTTTTTCAAGGAGCTGTGGAATTAATCTTGGTATATGTTAAACTGCAAAAAGAGGCACAACAGCATGAACTACAAAAATGTGTATTACCTGTTCTCCCATACAAACACAAGAGTTGCTTTGCCTCTATCAAAAGGCCCATGCTCTTGTCCCTTACACACATTTCTAGGCAGCTTCAGCAGTCACTGAGATTAATGCTTTCAAGAATAGCCATGGAGCAATTCATATGACGCGAATGCTTTAATTGCATATCCATGCCTCCAAGCGTCTTAAGTTTGTTTCAAGGTCCTTTTCTTCATATTACATTTTAATGATTGTGTTCTGTTATCAAGTTTTAATCTATACTTTATACTAAGTTAATTTAATCACTAATTCCATATTTAATATAGAGCTCATTTCAGATACCATTTGCTTAATTTACACAGAAAGGCTAGATGCTGAATGGTAACTCCAGCACAGCACACAGCAGAAACATCACTGCTTCTTACTGTTCATGGTTCATTGCTTCTACAGGGCTTGAACGTCTTGCATACTCAGTGTGCTCAGCTTCTGGGTGGGTATACTAGTTTTGTTGTTTCCCTGCTTTACCACCACAGGCATGTATTTTTGGAGCCTGCACATTAAATACTAACTCACCTGCTGCCCTCTCCTTTGCCTTTTCCGGTTGCTAGGCAAAGCTGTCAGTGCTTATGTAGGAAGCAAGTCTCCACACTACAGTGCTGGCAATCAAAAACCATTTGTACAAAAAAAGTTTCTGACACCACTTGTAGACTAAGCACAACTGCACCAAACAGACTTGCTTTGTTTGAGAGTCTGACTGATTGTTGCCAAGCAGATTTCCTCAAAATGACTGTATTATTTATTCTTCCTAATTCTGTATTTGCAAAGAAAGGAATGAAAAGGGAGAAGAGAATTGTGCTGCTGGTATGAAATGCTTTGAGTGGGAGATGGACTACATGACCTACATTTTTCAGTGAGTCAATGCAGCAGCATCCACATGGTGTGAATGAATTAACATTGGAGATACACCAGTAACGGATTTCTACTTCCGCAGCAATCCCATCAAGCCTAAAAACTTGCCCATGTTACAATAGCCCCTCTGCTTTTGGGGGGATAGGTAGGGTGCAGTGAGAGGCCCTAATGAAGATCTGTACTTTTTAGCATCTGCCTCTCATAGACCATCCACATCCACAATTACTGTAGCATGTTTGTTTCACAAAACTTGGCAAAGACAACAGAAAAAAGTGTCCAGGCATACTGCAGCTCAGCAATTATGATTTCAGTAGAAAAGCTGGAGTTAAAAATGCTATTACCTCACACCTGTTCCAGTGTAGTTGCCGGCTTTGTAAGTGAATAGGATGTACTTAACAATACATACAACCGACAGAGAAAAAAATACTTTACAGCAGTTTATAAATAGAGTGCAGCAGCCTGAAATTGTTAAAGCTCAGGACAGCAAAGTTACAACTGGGCATTCATGCCGGTTACAGTGGCAGCACAGTTGGTATCCTGTATCAGAACAGAAACAGTCCAGTTTTCAGGTATATCTGACAGAAACAGGTTCAGTCTGAAAGGTCTTATTTCACATCCAGTAATAGTATCTGAATGGATGCTGACAGACACTGCTAAAATTTAGTCTAGCTTCTGGCAGCACACAGAACAAAATTATAAACTTAGGGTCTGGTTTCCTTGTTTTCTTCTGTACCCTATCTGTAGTTTACTGCAGTACTGATCAGATGGGTTTTCTGATCCTTCTCATATATATATCCATTTAACAGAAACAAAAATGACATTCATATTTCAGTACCTGAACAATTAGGCTCATGAAGTATCTGTCTCTGCCTCACCTGTTACTGGTGAGCAGAATTCACCACGTCAGCTAGACAGCCACCACAGTGGTGGTATAGAAAAAAACAGCCCAGCTCTAGATGACGCAGACATAAAGGCAACATTTAAACAGGGAAGACAAAACCTGTCAGCAAGACCCTGGTAGAGAAATCAGGCACACAGTAAAGGTGCACAGAGGTAAATCTGTTGACCTGGGGGTTGAGAGTACATGTAGAACACATTGTGGTAGAGTACCTGAAGAATGGTAATAATAATAGACAGTAATAATGGTAATAATAATAGATAGTATAACTACCATGACAGGAAAAGCAAAAGGCAGTAAATATGTAAAGGTAATACAATAAAACCAGAAAGCAGTATTATTGCTTTATCTAACATAATTTAAAATTACACTCTAATTTTTTTTCCTTTATCCAATACAAAAGAATTACACAATACATTGGGAGGTTTTCCATTATGTACCTGCAAAAGTTAATACTGTGCAAACCTTCATAATTCCAAAGAAAAATCTGAGGGAGATATCCAACAGTTGTAGCCAAAAATATGCTGCCATCCTGTACATTACTGCCTTTAAAAAAAAGTTCAGCAGGCCTTATCACAGACTCTTTCAACATGTATATAGCCAACTAATGTATTCTCTCTGTCATGCTGAACAATGAACATTTGTACGGATTCTCAAGATAACTTCAAAAATTTGCTGGCAGCTATTAACTTCTAAGGTACAGAACAGAATTTTCTGTACCTTAGAATCCCAACACTAAAAAAAGGTTGTTTCTTGAAAGTATTTATTACATTATCAAATTCACTTAACTGAAAAATGTTTCTATGCAGAGGATATTTTTTTCTGTATATCTAAATGCAGAATACCCACCTGGACTGTAAATGGTACAATTACATTCAACAGTTTAGCAAATAAAGAGATGAACATAAGCATATTCATCAAAATACTTAACAAAGATGCTGTATTCTCAACATTTGATTTATCAGTTAGCCTCACCGTCACATAAATTTTGACCAGGCTGCACAAGAGTTTAAAATAAAAACAGGAATCAACTACATATCTTGTACACTGTGCAATTCCAGGCCAAGTTTATTTTACTAATGAGTTTATTTTACTAAAACAAATCAGGAAACTGACTTGAAAGTGGAATTACTAGACACTTGTTTGTCAGAAAGCTTCTTAGATTTCACTGGTGTCAAGAGGCTTGACAGACCATGCATCAAAAAAGTGCCGCATAGTGCAAGTATTTTTCTAGTCTTCCCTTGAATGCAATCTGCTTTTCTGCTCTGACTAATTGTACTGAAAATAAAACTAATATGTACTTCAAAAATTAGATACTTACAGTGAAAATACCCATTAGCTGAGTGTAAAAGAGTCGACTTATTCCACCAAATATTATTAGACCCATGAAGGCAGATATTCTTAGGAGAGCAAGTTCGTGTCTAAATACAAACACATCCTAGAACATGACAAGAAGAAGAGAGAGACTTTAGCAGTTACAAATTAATTTAAGTCTTTGAACCAAGTGGAAATAGTAGATAAGACCTATAATAGGTGTTCTCAAAAAATCTGAGGATATTGGATATTGGATTCTGAGCTACGTTGCACAAAATTGGTATATTTATTTATGTTTTAAAAGCAGAAACCAGTACTATTTTTTTCATACATGTTAACAGTTGGGGGTTTATTATAGCAGACTGTTAAAAAAACTCCTTCAACTAGTTAAGGTTTTGGGAATAGATCAAACTCAAACAGATTATTTCTCAATCTTCCATCTCAAACTGTGCCGGACTACTACACACAAGCTATATAATATAGGACAACTACTCTGTTAAATGGTCTGATTTATTATACCTCGGCTACCAGGCACAGCACATTTCATTTTTACATCACCTCTCCTGAAAGCCAACAAGCATTCCAAGACTGACACCTGAAGATTGACACCTACAGAGACTGACACCTACAAACTCCAAGTACCTGTACTGGATTGTTCTTATTTAGTGCTGTCTATTATCCAATATAAACTTATCTCCAACTTTTAAATTTTGGCCTTGAGGTAGATTACTGCCACTTTGGATAAGGGTGAACAGTAAAAAATGCTTCAGGGCACACAGAAATATGGATGTATTTGATCAACTGCATTGGAAAGTCTGTTCTCAACCAGCAGAAAATATGAAAAGCATTTCAGAATGTTATGTAATGTCTACAAAGGACAGAGCACCTTATTTTTACCCTAGAAGAACATCTTTATGTGGCAGTTACATTAGGTGTGAGTTCAGACCCCATTTTCATAATTTTAAGTCACAATTATGTTCTCAAGGCTGTCTTTTGAATATACACATCTGTTTTTCTACTTACAAAAGCTAGATCATGGCAGGAAAATTTTAAAACCTTTCAAGTAAACTTTATATTGAATGAAAAAACAAAACAAAAAACCCCCAACCAACCAACAAAACAACAAATAAAACCCCAGCAACAACCCATCCCCACAACAATTCTTATGTTCAACCACTAGAACCTGAGGAAGAAGGATACCAGGTTTTAATTAAACAGAGAATAGTTAATGCAAATTGTTTAGCAAAAAAAAAAAAAAAAAAAAATCTGATTTTTCATTTAAATAATTTCCATGAAGATTCAAAATATAAACCCAGGAAAAAACTGCCTACTAAAGCTATGAGGAAAGCCAGTATTTAAAGAACAAGTAGAAACCACTAGTTAAGCAGCTAAAAGCAAAATCAATCCCCAACAGTCTTTTCTGAACTATTTTAACGGTCCATTTCCTCTCCTCTCACTTGTTTATACCGGCCTTTCTTGCTGCTGTAGAAAATAGATTAATTTCCATTTATTTTAATGCTTCTTACTCATTTAAATGGGTTAATTCAAAGATAAATCAACTCAAAATAAAAGCAGTCATACTATTCTTTATTTCCCTTTCCATGAGCTAATGAAAGCTTTAAAGAAAAGCAAGGCAAGACACAACTTCTACTAGTTGTAAAATATTTCTTCATAACTTCATTGTTATGTTTTATTATATTAGAAATGTTTTGATGTATTCAAGCTCAACTTCACAGAAAACAATAAAATATAAGAGTGCCAACAGCAAAGTTATATTCTGAATCTAGCATGACACTCCCTCATTAGCACCTCCTGCAACTTGAATTTAGAAGAGTTCCTTCTCTTGAACACCATTTTCAGCATGAAAAAAATACATCACCAAACACATGATAAAAGAAAGTCCTAGCATGCAGAAGAGAAGTTGCAATTTCATCTGACTCTTTTAAACCACATTAAACTAGAGATACCTTTAAAGACACCGTTAAACTAGAGATAAACTAGATAGATAGACCATTTAACAGTAAGGAACACAGAATCATAGAATCACAGAATGGTCTGCATTAGAAAGGACCTTAATGATCCCCTAGTCCCAGCTCCCCTGCTGTGGAAGGGACACTTCACTACAGCAGGTTGCTCAGACCTCTATCACATCCGGCCTTAAACACTTCCAGGGACAAGACAACCAAAAATTCTCTAGGCAACTTCTTCCAGTGCCTCCTCAGTCTCAGAGTAAAGAATATCTTAATATGTAATCTAAACCTACTCTGTCAGTTTGAGGCCATCCGCCCTTGTCCTGCCACTACATGCTCCTGTAAATAGAAGCACATTATCTTTCTTGTGGGATCCCCTCAGACAAAGGAAGCCTTCTCTTTTCCAGGGTGAACAAACCCAATTCACAGAATCCCAGAATCAACAAGGTGGAAAATCATCCTGCCAAAGCCCCCTGAAAAGCCCCCTGCCAAAGCAGTGTCACCTAGAGCAGGTGACACAAGAATGCATCCAGGTGGATTTTGAGTGTCACCAGAGAGGGAGACTCCACAACCTCCCCAGGCAGCTGTTCCAGTGCTCTGCCACCCTCAGTGTAAAGTTCTGCCTGAGGTGGAATGTCTTGTGCTTTAGTTTATGGTCATTGGACCTCATCATGCTGTTGAGCACCACTGAAAAGATTCTGGCACCATCCATCCTGCTGCCACCCACCTTTGAGATATTTCTATGTATTGGTGAGATCCCCTCTCAGTCTCTCCAGGTCATTGACAAGCTGAATAAGATTGGTCCCAATATTGATCCCTTGGGAATGCCACTGACTGCAGGCCTCCTGCTGGACTCTGCTGCACTGATCATGACCCTCTGAGCTCTGCCTTCAGACAGTTCTTGCTCCATCTCACTGTCCATTCCTCCCATCCACATTTCCTGAGCTTACCTGTGAGGATGTTATGGGAGACAGTGTCAAAAGCCTTGCTGAAGCTCAGGTAGACAACATCCACTGCTCTCCCCTCATCGACCCGTCCTTCGTGATGGCCATGCCGTCACAGAAGGCCATCGCATTGCTCAAACATGATTTGCCTTTGGTGAGTCCACCCTGACTACTCCAGATGACCTTCTCTTCCTTTATGTGCTTGGCCACGGCCTCCAGAGTTATCTGTGCCAACACCTTTCCAGGGATGGAGATGGAGCTGACTGGCCAGTAGCTTCCCACATCCTCTTTGTTGCCCTTTCTGAAGATGACAGTGACACTGGCGTTCCTCCAGTCATCAGGCACCTCTCCTCCATTATTTTTCAAACAAGATGCAGAGTGGGCTTAGCAACAACATCTGCCAGTTCCCTCAGCACCTGTGTGTGCATGCCATCAGGGCCCATGGATTTATGGTTTTGTCTGCCTAGCCGATCTCTAACCAAACCCTCAATGGCCAAGGGCAAGTCTTCTTTTCTCCAGCCTTCCTCTCTTGCCTCCAGGGTCTGGGATTCCTGAAGGATGGCCTCAGCAGTGAAACCTGAAGCTATGCAGTAATTCACTCTGCCCTTTCTGTGTCTTCTGTCCCCAGGTTACCCATCTAAATTCAGCAGCATCCCCATATTGGTGGGGAACTTTCTAATCCTTGTTTTGTTGCTGATATACTTGTAGATGCCTTTCTTGTGGTTGTTGATATCCCTCAACAGACTTAATTCCAACAGGCCTTGCCTTTCCTTGTTGTATCTCTGCCTTCCCTGTCCATAGTTCCATATGGCCTCTCTTTCTCCACATCCCTAGCAAATTAATTCCAAAGCAATTATGTGCTGGAAATCAATACTGGGCCCTCAAATCTGTACAGACAGAACAACATTTTTCTATAGAAAACCAAAGTATATGCAGTAACTGAGTTTTTTGCTAATCAAACTTTAATAATAGAATGAATTACACAATTCTACACGGGAATATAAATATTTAGCTCCATGAAAACAGAAGAAAAGACCATTTTAAAAAGTAATAATAATAACAATAATAACAATAACAACAATAACAACAACAATAATAATAATCATAATCATAATAATGTATCTAGGATGCTGCAGCTTTGCATAAAAGCTCAGTGCAAGTAGGTTTTATTATTCCTCTTTAGAACTGACAATAACATTTTTTTCAGCTGAGAAAACCAATCAAAACTATAATCAATCAAAACTAGTCAATAATTAACCAATCCCTCTTTCAATGTGTTTTGAACAGATCCTCTTGTTCAATAGTATTCACCAGTCTCAGTGCAATATGAGTATTGAGTTAGTGTGATTTTGGAGTCTGGGGTACAGGCTACTTCTGCTAACAGAAAGGACTGTACAGATTTAAATGTTGTTCATTATTTAAATGAACACCAACATACACACAGATTAGCTGACCTCACCAGCACATGAACACTCAGCTGTCATAGCACAACAGGGTTTTGTTCCACAGCAGCTTTTTTTTTTTATATTGCGCCAGGCTGTCATATACGGCCTTGGCACAGATGTTGAATGCATATTCTTAACAACATGAGAGCTCTCCTTCAGGTAGCCTCTTTCTAATCTTCTTTATGTCAGCTCTACAGCCTAACCAGTCTGCCAAAACTGCATGTTCACATAGGCAGCTGCCACTGCCTTTCTACTTAGCATTTCCTACACCACACCGCACAGCACTCCCCTTTGGCTGCTGCCTTTTCTACAGGTTTCTAAATTCCATTTAGCTGCTACTTCTATCCATCCATTGCAGTCAAACTGCAAGGATTCTTAGTTACCCACAAAAATGCACAGAAATGTGAACAATAAGAACTTGTCACAAAACATGTGCAGGTCTAGAGGATTATGTTGAAAAATGGACTACAAACCATGAGATGTGGTATCTTTATCTCAACAGGCAATACTGAAACATTCTACAGAAAGAAGTCTGTGGGACAGATAAACAAGCGACCTCCTCAACCCCACAGCAGAACACATGCCTCATCTTCATTTGTGAGCATCAACCACTATAGATGACTCCTAGAATGAATGCCACCACTGACTAGGACAACAGCTACCAAGGCTTTATGTTATCATACAGGAGAGAGGTCAAAAACCACAATGGGTCCGGCTCTAGACTGTAGTCCATTGTAAGACCAATGCTTCCAAATTCAACTCTCTTTGTACCCTACCAACAATAACAACAAAAAAAAAGAGCTCAAAAACATGCCATATGCATTATTGTCTTATTGTTTTCAAGGACTTATAGTATTCCTTTACAGCAGCACACTGTATTGAGGACAGAGCTTTTGGCAAGAAACACAGGAGTATTGTATCTGCTCCAGAAGAGACCATCTTCATAATTTTTGATTTACAATGGAAAATTAATTTATTCAGTCTTTATTCTTTACTGAAATATGACACACAGAGAGATTAATATACAAGAAAATACATTAAAAGACCTCTTTTTTTTTTTTTTTTGAGGAATGATATTTTGTGTAACACATGATAACCTGGTTATCTGTGCTCAGCTGTAAATGCCTGGGATGTCTGCCTCAGACCGCTGATGAAGTCAGTCTATCTACTTGGGTATCACAAAAATAGTGTATAATACAAAAGAAAGCCAAGCTTTTCAGAAAGCAAACTAAAAAACACAGACTGCAGGCTTTGTAGGAAGAAAGAGGAAGGACTTAATATTCATGTACTGTCCTTATAACTACTGTAGGACAGCAGGGTTGGGTTGGTTTTGCAGAATGCTGAGAAGAAAAATGTTGATGCTTTTCATTTTAAAAACCTTTCCTGTCTGGTACATAATTTTGTGATTCTAAGAGAAAAAGTTTCCTGTAGACTCTCTTTACAGTACAAATGGACTTTGGATGATATATATTTCCAGATTTTCATTAATATTAGTCAATGCATAATATTAATATTATTTAAAAAAATAATTTTCCAAAGTCAAAGACAATGATTTGTAATTGCAGGAACAGGAATAAAATAAAACTAAGTCAGAGCAAAGGGGCCTAGGTTTTTGTATGTCCGGAGGTTTAGCTATGACAATTATTGCAGCAACATCTCTAGCAAACAGAATGTATCAGCAGAATTCCTTTCACTTAAAAGATTAAAAGCCTTCTATAGATAAGGTAAAACATACTGCCAAAGCGTTTACTTTTGCAATTTGACCAGCTGTATCTAGAATCTGTGCCAGCCCAGCCATGGAGAGAGCAACTACGTAGTGATAATTCTAGTATCTATTCTTCTCATCTCACCATTCAGAAGACTGACTACTTCCTAAAATATACAGGCTTCCTGATATTTTTTCATGAAGACGTAAAATTAAGAATATTCCTGTGTTGACCTCTGTAAATCACCAAAGCTTGCAGAAGAACTAACATGCTGATTTTATTCAAACAATGTATTTTATCTTGTGCTATCATCCCACATAATCAATTTAATTACCATCTCCTTTATTTCTAGCAGTAATTGCACTCCTCCTGCTGGACAAACAGAGGTAACAACCATAACCTAAATTTCTGGCAGTGTATCAGTTACAAGAACCAAGACTATTGTGAAGCAATTTTCTGTAGGAAGAGGTGAAGATGAAAGACTGCATCTCTACAGAAACAGCTTCCTCCCTTACCTTTAGAGCTATCACGCTTAACTCAGAATAGTTAATTAAAAATGTTTGGGGTTTTCTTTCTTGAGCCTTTAAAAATAAAAACACAAGTTTTAATTTGGAAAGAGATACTAACATGCTGGTCAAATTTGCATAATCCATTAATCAGTAATGTAATAAAATTATTATTTCACAATAGCACTAAAAGCAATTTTAATTCTACAGCCTCTGTGGTTTGTATTATTTTAAATCTGAAGAATAAAAATTGAGATGAAGGCATACCGCCAAAAAATTCACAAGTCTTTTAATGAGCAAGAATAAGCTTACTCCAGATGGCTGTTTGGAAAAAAATCATCCAGTTCTTTGAATCTGTTCTAAACACTAGCCCCTGTCAACTCAGAAAATGTAAGCTCTCAGTTACAGCCAAAATTTCAACAAAGAACAGTGTTTTTTGTCAAAGGCTGAAGGTACTGCACTCTCTGGAATCCTGTGGTACCTCAGCTTTAATTGATATAAAGGAGATAAAAAGAATCTTGCAGTATGCTAGACTAAAACCCTAACTATTACTAAGCCAATCTTTTCACCAGTCCTGTTCATTTGATGCCAAAAAGACATAGTTCTGACAAATTATTCTGTGGCACAAATCTATACAGCATCACATCCTTAGCAACTCTTTAAAAAACCAGCTTCATGGAACACTGCTGTCATCTTCCAAGCAAATATGTTGACTAGGCATGCCAACTATTTTAGTTTTCTCTACTTCACTGTGTGCTCTCCTATTCTGCAGCTGAAAAACTGAGAAAGCTAAACACTATTTAGTGTTACACTGTACTTAATAAAAGTCTGAACAGCCCAGACCTGCTGTGTCTACTGTTTTTCTATATTGTGTAAACATATTTTTCGTCTCTGGGGCACAGAGTATACTATAACACAGATCCACTTTGTAAAAGGAAGTGTGTCATTTGAAGTGTTCACATATGGAAATTGATAAAGCCAAAAAAAAAAACCACAGATAAAACTAAACAAAACCAAACAGAGCAAAGTGATTTCTTCCACAGTTCTCTGTAAACTTAGGCAGCCAAAAACAGGAACATGATCCCCTCTTCAGGCAAACACATTAAAATGGGTTAAAATAATTGCTGCACGTGTATTCTGCCTTCTAACCTGTCACCTGTCAAAGCAGTATGTATTAAAACTAGGCCTCTCTCCAAACAACTTCAAATTAATCCAGTTATACTCACAAGAACAAGTTTTATACATATTCATACATATTGTACTTGTTTTTTGAACTGTCGTTATTACTAATTATCATCACCTCTTTAGGTATTGTAAAATATCTGAAGTAAACATGATTTCCATTTCCCTCTCTTGCACAGACTGCCCTCAACCAAGTAATTTGGTTACTTCTCATACTACTTTTAAAAAGCAAGGCTAACAGACAGAACTTTGGCATGTTACCTAATACAGTGTAATTACATGAAGCAATATATTCAGGGAATATTCACAATAAAAAGGACCCTACCATGACATTATACTATTAGAGACCAACATGTCTGTTTCAGTGCCTACGGAAAGATGGTCCAAGCAGACAGCAATTTGCTTTTCCATATTTCTAAAATCCCTTGTATGATTTAAATGGAAGTATTGATGCAGATGGAAAAAATAATTAAATTCCTGTAGAATACAATTTTTTTCAAGAACGAGTTAAAAAAATTGTCAAATTTGGAACATTCTATATAATAAAAACTTGGTATCTATAAATTTGAATATAGCACTTTCATCAGTTTTCAATTAACCAAGTAATAGAGTCTTCCTACACTTTCAGCTCTCCTTTGCCATATCACCTTCACATACACTTTTATGGGAACTTCACACCCACTTCAGATTGACACAGGAACAAATAAGACACTTGGAAGACTATGCCCCCTCCTTTTCCAGAATCAGAATTTTTCACAAAGTGAAATTCTTATATAATGTAGGATACAAAATCATATGACCAACTTTAGTTGTTCCAAAAAATTGAATTTTTTTTTTTCCATTTGCAAGGGACTTGCCTTACCCACAATGAAGGGTCAGGTTTCTAGTAGCCTGGAAAGATGAGTATGACATCACCAGCAGGGAGCATGCTGGGGTGTCACATCAACACAGAATTAAAAAATCTTCTGCACCTCAGTATTTGGAAAGAATCTCAACAAAATTTAGAGTGCGGTATTTGAGATGATATTTTCTCTTATGACATTTGGAATGTTACCTAATTTTGAAAATGCTTTAAACTTGTTTTCTAGGTTTTTGCCTTTAGTGTACTTGTATTTGTTATAGTCCAGTACAAATACAAAGTTCATTTCAGATTTAATCTGTAAGTTCTTATGGTTCTCCATAAGCAAGATAGCATAACAATTTTCTTATAAAGAAAGAGTTCTAACTTTGTTGTTCTGGCACTTTCAAGCACTGAGCAACTTTCAAGCAACCTTCTTCAATATTCTGAATATTACAGATAATAGGCATAAATGAGCACCACATAGCAGCTTTACAATATAAGTTTCACAGTAGAAGGAAGTCCTTGATTTTTTACCCTACTCCAGTCCCTAAGTCCACTTCCTCTGTGTATACAACTGCTTTTTCTGATGACAAGACATGGAAATACTGTAACTATAGTCCACATGAAACAAACCAAAGTTAATTCTCTCTTAACCCACATAACCTTTTCAAAGCAACAGAAAACACTGCTACAAAACCAATGTATATTTTTCTCCTTGCAGAATTATCATGTGTTTTTCTCCTTTCTTAAAAGAGCAATATCAACTTTTTAAAACATTATATTAGGATAGCTATATATTTTGCATAAATCTACTCTGGAAAAAGTAAAAGGAAATTTGAATACATCTAAAGTAGTTACCTTAATTCTTTCCAGTACTGATAATCACTTCCAAAGAAAGCTAACTGGCTCTTCCCTCCCTTTCCTATATTCCTAAGAGAACTAGTGTTGTGTTTTTAACACACAAAGAAATCATATGTCCTTTCATAAAAATATTTTGTTACTTACCATGAATCAGTTTGCCTACTTAATAACATACAGCTAGTTGAACTCTCTTCACTAAGAGTGAAGCTGAGCCACCAAAAGTGTGCATTAACTAGAAGCCAAAACAAATTACATTGCAACACTCTTTGTTTGCTTCACAGAGAAAACAGGTTCTTACCCAGTTGTCTTTTTTCAGAGGCAAAAAGTAGTAGTAATGGCAGAAGTCAAGTATCAGCGTATAGGAACTAAGGATCTGGGTGTAGAAACACAGCTGTAAAAACAGCCAGTGATTGTCTTCACCAACACAATTATTAATCCTGTAGAGAAACAACGTGTGCATGTATAAAAACAGAAATACAAATACTAAAGTTATGATACTGTGAATAGAAGACTTTATGATTGCTCAAAGAGCAAACTACTGGATCCCTTGCACCACAACTCAAAGTATAGGCTGCGCTACTGAGATCATCGCTTAGAACAGGAGACACACTTCTCTGTATTTTTATATAGCAAAGATACTGCTGCAACTTTAAGTACAACTCTAGTAATGAAATTGTTTTTTGAAAGTATGCAAAACTTCACAATAATATCTTCTGCTACTCAATACATTTCACAGGTTGTGAACTACAAGAGTGCAAAAACTGGAAACGCAAACAAATGTTTTAAAATAAATGTGATCACAGGCTACCCCAGTAACAAAGAAATATGACTTAAAAATGAACCAAAGGCACAGAAGACAATACAGGCATCCCTATTCAGCAACTCCTTCTGCATACTCCAACATGAAAAGAGTAAAGGAAACACAAGGATTCCATCTGTATTAAGTACAAGATCAAAAGTTACATGGATACAATTTCATACAAGCATTGGCACAGACAACAAGCTAAGCCAGCGTGACAAAAGCACTATACTAGTACTATTCTCTGAAGTAGAAAAACTTGACAAAAAAAGGTAGTTTGAAAAATGACTAAACCAACATAAGGGAATCCTGTCCTCTACAGTTTGTCTTCTAAAAATTATACCTCAGAACTGCTTTCAGAAATGTTTATTTTCACTTACTGGTAAATACAGGAAAGCTCAAATTTATTACTTCCTTGCTTTAAATGCCTAAATGATTAAGTACCACTGGGAAAGAAACAGGAAAAATGAGCAGCAGTCAAGACCACAAATTTTTCAGAATGATTCACTAAAACAACAGTAGATAATTAGAAGAAATGTCCTGGTTTTACCATGGACAGTGGTGATCCATCCTCCTCACACAATGTCCACAGCGACTGCAATGGTGTGAACGCTTTGGTCTCATCATATTGCATTTGTTACATAACTCCCAGTGTTCTCGTTCTAGGTGAAAATGTAAAGACATGTCAGAGAGATTTAAACTCAGTAATGTGTACTCATAATAAATCTGTATGCTTGTAACTCTAATTAAAAAAACATATCTTACTATGATCTGAGAAGGGTAAGCACCACATAAAAAGCTTTTTCCCACTGTGACCTTAATTAAACTGGAAGATATTACTGCTACTCCATGCCAGTTTCCATCTCCAAAATGCCTTCTCTTCCTATAAATTTCTACACAGTAATTATTACAAACCACAAGCTGTGACTCAGACAAGGAAGACTGTAATTCAATTATTTCCTTACATTTCTACTGTGAAAAATTATCTGCTAGACAGAATCAGGATACAACCTCACTGCTACTCCAGAATCTCCTGAAGAAATACTGCTCCTGCTAGCTAACTAAAATATGACACACAGTGAACACTTCAGGAGCATCTTCCATGTCAAAGCATTTTAATGACATGCATATCACCACATGCAATTTTAGATATAAGATAATCAAAGCAAGAGATAGAAGATAGGCTTGTATTTACGAATATATACTATTTTTAAATTACTAATGTGAGATTCTTTAAATGCTTATCTCCAGAGACACTGAGTAGCTGAAATATCAGGAGTACTATTGCTCAGCTTGGCTATTATTTATAACACAATGCCCCACCCAAATTAGAGGAATTCTTTGAAAATGAAAATTCAAATTATATGTTCAAAAATTTCATCTTCACATGGGAAGCAATAAGATTAACACTGAAATAATTCCAGTCACAAAAGCATATATTTTCTGTCTTTAAGGAAAACAGGTGGACAGCTGAAAATTACTTTGACTGTTCAAACTGTTTCTACCTAAATAATCTTTTCTGAGGCACAAAAATTTCTCATATCTCAGGGACAGAGGGGAAAAAAGGGAAAAAAAGCTTAATATTTACACTAGGACAATCTGAAATTTTATACTGTAAAACACTGTCCCAGTGTAAACAAAATAAAGTTATATTTAGCACTTCTGAGCCACCTGCAGGCAGCTCTAATCTGGTCTTTCTTACTGCAAAATAACATTTGGACGCGGGAAGTAAAGAAACCCAGTATCTGAGATCATTAAACTAGTAATAATGACAGATGGAAACTGATTCACAATCTGTTCGCATAAATCCGAGGTCACAAAGGTGTCACTCACTAATAGGGTAGCTACCAGCAGAGTTCAGAAATACCCCAACTCATTTTTAACACAATTTATACTATGCAAAAATGTATCCTCCTGTCAGCCTAGTGCATACCAGACAATTGGAAGTGCTACCTCCAAACATAAAATACCCCTGATATATAACACACCAAATCAAAATATCCAAGTCATGACCTAGCCTAAATATTTCACCTTTGGAAGTATTTATTAAGTATGACTGCCATATGGACTCAATAGAGCACACAAAGGTTGGAGAGCTATGCGAAGAGATACCTTAAATTTAAAAAAAACATTTGTGCACAAAGGGAATTTGCACTGCCCCTGGTATTTTGAAAGCAAATGAAAACTCCAATATAAATGTAACTGTCTGTAACTAGCAAGTGTCTTCATTATCCAGCTCAGGTTGCAAAATCCATGTTGCTCTTCCTGCAGCAAAACCTCTGACTCCAGAACCCAAGTCTGAAACACCTGACATTTTACTGGATCAAAGGATCAGTTGCCAGAAGCAGAAAGAACAGTGGCATGAGATTTTCTGCCATTAGTGGTAACACATCTGAATCCCAGGGAGATACACCCCTTTCTACAATAGGCTGTCTACTTCATGCACCTCATACCATCAGCACTAAGGCTAAAAAGATCATGTTTCCAAACACATCATCCTAGACTTCCAGTAACGCTGGGAAGAGAGAGCAAAATTTTATTCTGGGCATTCACCACATCTGAAGACAAGACTGAAGCATTCACCCTCACTGGATGGGATACATTTTCTTCATTCATGAAGTGTTACCTTTTAATATGACAAAGCTCATGCTATTTAACAGCCCTACTCCATTCTAAACTCCTAAGTAAAAGGTCTATGTTAGATAAGAGCTCCCAACAGTTCATAAAAATACTGTCATTCTCTGTGGAGAATCATTAAGGTTTTAAAATTCCTTCAGCTTCTGGAGCACTGGATATTGTGGGATAAATTTGCAAGGACAGAAAGGACTTGCTCCATTAAGTTGCCACTTTATAGAAATGCAGTGTAACTAGCACCATGGTTTGGGGTTTTTTGTTAACAGCCCATACAATCATAAGACTCTGGAAAAAAAGAGCAAAAAATACACTGGTAAAAACCAGCATAGGACTACCTTCCACCACCATTTTTAACATTGTATAAATTAACTAAGACAAAAGATATAGAATTAAAATAACTAGCCATCTATAAACATTTTTCATTAAATATTATCAAGTTAGTAACATATGCATTATGTTTGAAAGTCTAGAATGCAAAAAAAAAAATTTCTGTGGAAAAATTTCCCAGTAGAAGGTCCTACATAACTGAACTTTCTGGCAGAATACAAGTTTAAGAAAAAGAAGTTTTGAAACTAGGAAATGAGGAAATTTACAACTTTAAAACAGTGACATACTAACTTTATTCAGCAAGGACAGCTCATGGTTTCCATTAAATCTCACAAAGACAAATTTATTCCTAATTATTTTAAAGATATTAAAATAGCTTTCATTCAATTATATAGAAACAAGTTAATGTACCTGTAATTGGTATCTTTGGATTTTCAGGTAGTTTTCCTGGATCTGCTACTGAGGCTCTAAATAATGAAGCTACACAAAACAATGAGCAGAAGTAATAACCTAAAAAAATAAATAAGCATTTGTTAGACTTTTTCATATGTGCAAAGTACACTATATCAAAAAATACAGATGCTCCAGAACTGAGCTTGAAATACTCAGCCTTCTCATTCAATTCCAGATATATTTTTGATATTAAGTACACAACATTAAGTACTCCCCAATAAATAGAGTGAAAAAAGTAGTAAACAGTTCTGATAGCACTAGCAGGAGCTACTGTGACCATACTACAGTTTTTAAGAAGTTTCTCCACCATCTTACCACACAAGCACCAATCATACCACACCTCAAAGCCTCCATTTGAAAGATATTCCCAATAGTGCATCTTCACCTTGAAGTTTGTTCCAGCCATAATTCAAGACTTTTCCTCAGCAAACCTATCAGCAAAACTTGTATGAGCTAATCCATACAGGAACATATGACAAAACTAACAAAATTTAGTTGTTGCCAATCACAGATGTGAACCTGAAATCCTGTCAACAAGTTCTAACCACAGGACCTGAAAGCTACGTTAAGGCTTTCCACCAGTTTCCACAAAAACAAGTTCTACAGTAACACCTCCAAAATGAAGTGCCACAGCTTCCCAGAACACACAAACACAGGATGCGTCCACTACTCTTACCCTTTATCTTACCTTTTGTCTTCACTTTCACCCTAGTTTCTATTTTCTGATAGGATTTTTTTAAATGTACATTAAGTAAAGACATTGTTTTATTAGTAGAAAAAAAGGCAAAATTACTTACAAAAAACTGCCACAACTGAAATATTTCCCTCTTCATAATGAGGAAAAAGGATGACCTTTGGAATGAAGATTGTATTGTACAGCCAGACGAAGATAATTAGGCCCATGCAGCACCAACCCTGAGGGTCAACCACAAAGTGAATTCGTTGCCCCATTGAACACAAACAGATAATAAATTGCCACGACCGAGGAAGATAATCCTAAAGAGACAAATAAAAGAATTTTTTTTTTAAAGAGTAAATTTACTAGTATAGTGCAGTCTACAGGGTTCATACATTCAAGTAAGAAAGAGAAAACCCTGTCAGCTGTTGGTTTAAGAAATTACATAAAAACTTCTAAACATTTCACATACATTTTTTAAGCACCAGGTAGCAAAACATTTTATGAATTCATTAATTAGTTATATCTGGCTAAAAAGTAACATTTATCACCAAAATGCAAGTAAAACCACTACCTATGAAAACTATTAAGCAATAGGTAATACAGCAACTGTCAGTCAGGTGGCAGCAGCAAAGAAAACTCTTCCATCAAAGTAAAAGGGTTGTAAAGCAAATAAGAAATATAACGAATTATTTATTTCCACAAAGATTCACCCCACCTATCTATTATAGTCTCCCCCTGTATTTCATGGTTGTTTTCTTATAGCTTTTATGCTAAGTCAAGAGTATCACTAAGAATTCGGTGTTTCCTTGCTTAAAATGTCCTTCATGACATTAATAGCAAACCAATGGAGAAAGGAGTCATTACCCTGACATTTTTCACATAGATTATTAAAAGTATCACACAATAGAACATTTTCTATTAATCACATTTAAAACATCAAGGTTTCCATCCTTACACTTTAGTGGGGCTGGGTTCCTTTTGGTTTTAGACTGAAGAAACCTCACCAAGTCCTACAATGTGAACTTCCGAGCTTCATAAACCGACCTCCATAACAACTCAGCACTTAAGTCCTAACCACCATTCAGCACAACCATCACGGAAGGGATTATTGCTGTTATTTTTTTGTCAGACTACTTTCATACACATATTTTATTACTGTAATGCACACACAAATCCCAATCTACTCTCTTACCCATTAGTTTCCCCAATTTCTGGGCTTCAGGAATCTTGTTCCATTTTTGCTGGTTTCCATTCCTTTCAGCTTCTACTTGTTGCACTGAAATTTTGTTTATCAAACATCTCTGTTTCCAAGGATTTTGCTTACTTATTTCATGTTTTACTGTCCTCAATTGCATTCAAAATTTACTTAATATTATTCACAAATTTCATTGTCTTCTTTTCTTCTTCTGTTAGATGTTTAATCAAAATCACACCCAAACAAGCTGTCATTTTGCCACACTTCTCCTTTGTGTTATATATAATCACCCTTTGCTTGTTATTTTCTTATGTAACATAGGAGCATTCCTATTCAGATCCCCACCAAGTACCGCTCATATCCCCACCAAGTTCTTGCAGCTACAGAAACCCCCATCACAAGAAGAGAAGCAGACAGAGCCTCAGCTTGTCAAGTCAGACATGCCAAGCCTCTGAGCTCCAGCACCAAGAGGACAGCTCCTGCTCTGCCTGCAGCTCTGATCTACAGAGCAGGTTCTGAGCCCTGGCAGCACACATGGAAAGGAAGCTCTGTCAAAGAAAGCCTCTGAGCCATCTGCGCCCGAGTCCTGCGGCAGTACCCATACTGGGGTGAGAAACAGCATGGGGGGTAAGGAGCAGTGGTGGGTCCCTGCTTCTGGGACAAAGACACCTCTGCCGGCCCAACCTGTCACCCAGCAAAGTATGCTGCTTGCCAGGCTCCTGGGTCCTGGATACCATGGACTGACTATTACTGAGGCTGGTAGTAGTCTGGCCCTTAGACTATTACCCTCAGCTAGTCTTCCATTCAGGCCCCATGGACACAGCCAGGGGAGACCAGGAGTTTACCAAGCATGACTACAGAGTTAACAGGGTGTTGGCCAAAGTCTAGTAGCCAAATGGTGTCTCGTTTATGCTGCTGATGAAGGGGGAGAACTTGAGGAGAAGCAGACAGATCCTGTAAATGTGCAAGCGGTTGTGTAACATTTACATCCATAGAATCTTCTATGAGGCTCAAAAACTGAGGGTGAAGGGGAACAAGATCCACCTGAAATTATATGGGTAAAAGCATCTTTGCAAGAGGCTAGTTAATCGGCTTGGAGAATGCTTTAACAAGGAATGATGATCAAGAAAGGTGGTGACCTCTGAATGAGCAAGGAAGTGGTGGTCACGGCTTGCAAGCAAAAGATGCAGGATGATGTGGAAAACAGAGATCTTATAATCAACCAAAGCAAGGTGAAGTGTGGCTGCACCGTGTGTGCACACAACTGACACAGGAACACCACTTAGGTGCACTAGGATAGAGTTAGGAAAACCAAGGTTCTCCTAGAGTTGAATTTGGTCAGGGATATGAAATTCCAAGAGAGATTTGTACAAGTACATGAGCAGCATAAGGATGGCTACAGAGGAAACATCAGCCTGCTGCTGGAAGTATCAAAATCATACAAAAATGTCAAAGCACCTTGTTTATCTTGCTCTTTCATGGGTAAGACCTGCCTTCTGGAATTCCAGGTCCCTGAGACCCATGGGAAAGTGTTGAGGAGCAAAGACTTACTCTGAGCAAGGAAGGATCAGATTAACAAATTTTTAAGTGAACTAGACCTAATACTTCCATGTGACCTGCTGAGATGCCAGCCTGAGTGCTGAGAGAGCTGGCTTTGTCATTCTCAACTATGTTTGGAAGTTTTATGCTGATGGATGACATTCCAGAGGACTCAAGAAAACAAGCGTAAATGAAAATCCTGTTTTCAAGGACAAGAAGAAGGAGCCAGGCAACTACAGGCCTATTAGCTCCACCCTGGTCCTGGTCCTGGGAAGGTGAAGGAAACAATCCTGGAAACTACTATCAAACACATGAAGGACAAGAAAGGGATTGGGAGTAATCACCATGAATTTACAAAGGGAAAATCATGCACACTAATAGAAATATAGAGGCAAAAAAACCACAAATGTAGCTACAAACACTGCTGACCACTGAGGAATCCATCTGTTTTCCATCTTAACAGAGCAAAAGAGATTCCATGACTTCACAGCACTTCCTCAGAACGGGAAATAACAGCTCAACAAACAAAACAGACATTTAATTACTGAAAAACAGAGAGATTTAATTACTGAAATACTTGCTCCTGAGTGACCTACTTGTACAATGTGTGAGCAATAAGCAGTGAGAGGGATTCAGGAGAAAACATCTATCAAGAAAATACAGTCTAAATTTTTATTCCTCAGTAACTTACTTTTGCCTGCATGACCATATTCACTTTTATAACTAGAAAACCAAAACAAGTATCAGCCATGCTCAAAACCATACCTTGGATGGCAAAATCCAGAATTAAGCGAGAACTACACAAATACAGGCCTCACTCTCAAGACAGGGTGATTTTTCATCTGTCTTCTGCATCTCCTGAAAGAGACAAAAAATAGTGTGATACACAAACAAGCATTATCACTTGTTTGAAAGGTAGCATATAACAGGTTACTTTCTATTCTGCTTTCCAAACCCCACCTTACTGAGTAGAGCTGTCTCCAAACCAACACGTTAATTCTAACTAGCATTTCTCAAATCTCAGTTCTAGGCCACTTCACAGTTTTAATATATATTTAAAAGGATGGAAGAGTTCAGAGAAAGGTCTATGTAAAACTGCAGTACTGCCAGTGTATTTCAGTTACACACATTTACTTCCTGCTTTCCATAATGGTAAATTAAGTTTTATATTTTTCATTCTACTTCAGCAGCAATAGCAAATAAATGATGTCAATATATTGACTTACTCTGGCAAAGGGATTTTTTCCCCTCTTTCTCTTGGTTTATGTACCATGCATAAATATATAAAGTGTGAGGAATAAAGAAAAAGGAAGAGCTTAAAAATCTTATAACTAGCAAGGAAGTACTAGATTAAAGTTTAAGTCACAAACAAAGTGAATGTATTACTCTTTCAAACACAGTGCCAAAAAAAAAAAAAGAGACAACTGATCTCATATAATTTTGTTCTTCAAAAATCATAATTTCTGATCAGAAAAACTACAATACGCAAAGAAAAAACTCTATGAAAATGTTTACAACAAATAAACAGAGAGAAACAATTAAGTGATTTATATCTGTATACACTCAGGATTCATACAAGCAATAAAATTCTCCAAGCAAAGTAATTTTCCAATTAAATAATTTAGAAGAAAATACAGAGCACTAATGTCAGAGCTTTTGTGGTTTTCTTCTCTTGTGCCCTAATTTATAGCTATTTATTCTAAATAAATAACTCAAATCACTTGAAAGCCAACAGTAGCTGTGCCTATGGAAAGTTTCAGCTGCACCAGAACACGACTGAGTCTCTCCTATGTTATTGGGAATTGTTCTTGCCTTTCCAAAATATACCTTTATTACACGATGCCTGGACAGCATTTTTTCCTAACCCTTTTCTTTCTGCCCAGTTCCATCAATGGTATCATAAACTCAGTATTTTGTTCACTACAACCACCTGAAATATGACACTTCGTGTGACATCCACAGAATAATGAGACCACAGAATGAGTCAGGCAGGCGGAAAGTCAGTTCCAAGAAATGAGAAAACTCTGGGCTAACCAGAAATGTTAAGGAGAAATATAAATTGCTTTAACAGACTCATTTGAATGCACCTTTAGAAAAATTAAAAGTACACCATTTTGCATCAAGAATGTCCCAAAACATACTTAGAGAACTGTATTCCATAAATACACCCAACGTGAGCAGTACTCAATTTCTCACCCTAAAAAGCACAACAGTGAGTTCTGGGGACATCATGTTTCTTGCACATTCATGGGTGTTGCAGTGATAGACAACTAGAAACTGTGCCTCACTGTAGCCCTGCTCCTTAAGAAAAGTATGACTTCTGAAATCTGACTTGCAGAACTTATTTCACAAGTCCTTAAACAAGTGCAGAACACCACAGATCAGTAACTTATTGTATTGCTTGCTATGAAAGACAATTTTAAGACTCCACACAAATTGAACATGCTCCATAATACACATTCTGAGAGTGGAAAAAACACCACTTTCTAAAAAGGCTGTATCCTAAGCAAGTCAGAAAAAAGAACAGAGAGTAGAAACACAAGAGAGCCACACTTCTCATAAAATTTGTGATAACTAGGGCAAGGCAGCAACAATCAACAGCCTTCCCCAATTTCTGGATCCAGCTGCATTTTTACACCGGTGACCTTCCTGAAATCTGAAGAATTACTGCCAAAGATTACTGATACTAAAACAAAAAATATACTTCAATGGAAAAAAAAACAAGGTGGACTTCAAGCAATCAACTAAACTTCTTTTACAAACGAGATTTTAAGGAAGTCACGTTATCAAGTGTCAGAACAGAATTGTCATTAAGCTTTTTGCAACACTTCTGTTTAACAAAACAGAATAGGTATCTGAATAGCCAGATAAGCAAAATGAGCAACAGCATATTTGTGCCATGACAAACCCCCACACACCTGGCATTTCTCGTGTTTATACAAGGGATTGTTGCAGCACAGACCTTGGCACAAAGCAGCTGTTAGGTGGCTGTTGACAGGTTTGTTGAGGTAGGCAAGACATTCCCACCCAGTTACTGTTCATTGATAGGATCTAGCAAAGCATACCTGTAAACACCTACTGCATTTATAAAAAATGTGACTTGGGCTTGGAGAGGGATGTGGCTTGCCATTAACATAGGCACACCTTACCCTCCTTATCACAAGTCCATCAAAACGATCTTCACCTACTGCTGACCAAACAGCCACTTGTACACAGATAAAGTATGTTACTTTAAGAACACTACCGCTTGGATCATCAGTCTGAGGCGAAAGAAGACCTGCTATTTCATCTGACTAACTACTAGAGCTGGGAAATGAAAGTGTGAAACCAAGGGACGCCAAGGCCATCGCACCTCCTTGTGCCGCGCTGCTGGAACACACAGGTAATCAAAACCTGGTGCCTCTCCTACTACCACCTCAATACCCGCAAACACCCTCCTCCTCTACAGGGCAACCAGCACCCCGCACCTGCCTGAAAGCGACAGCACCATTTCCTTATTTCACAGCTGAGGAGATACCCGGCAATTCTGCCCAGGGTTTCCCTACCCAGCTCCCTGCAACAGACAACAGCACCGCTGCAGAGGAAGCGCAGGGATGGAGGAAGCCCCGCAGGAGCCCGCGCGCCGCTGCGGGGCCGTGGCCGTGCCCATGCCCGAGGAGGTGCCGGTGCCGGTGCCGGTGCCGGTGCCGGTGCCGGTGCCGGTGCCGGTGCTCCCCGCCCCTCCCGCCGTCCCGCCCGCGACGCCGCTCCCGGGCCAACGGGGGTCGCGCTCGCCGCCCCCCGCCCGGGCACGCGGCGGAACCAACCGTGGGCTTCCGCCGCTCCAGCCGCGCGTGCGCGCTCCGAGCGCCCCGGCGGGCGGGACCGCGCCCCTCAGGGAGGAAGCGGCGGAGGCAGAGCCGCCCTTCGAACCCGCCCGAGCCGACCCGGCTGCCCCTCACGGCTGCGGGGCGTGGGCGTTTCGCCTCGTGTGGCAGAGGCGCAGCCACAGCGGGCACGGCAGGGGTCTGTATACCGAGTGTATGCAGCGCCGGAGGAGCCGCCCTGGAGGGGTGGTCTACCCTGCCCGGTGGGAAGCCGGTGTGACCGATCAGCCGCGTTTCCCCAGGGCTGGACCTCGCTGTCGCTCGCTCGTCCCCGAGCACAGACTTCAGTCAGCATGAGCCCTTTTCCGTTCTTCATTTTTGCGGCGCCCCTTTGCACTCCTGTGAAAAAAATGAGCCCTGCGGGCAAGGCTTCTGCCTCAGTCTCCAGGCTGCTCCTAGGAGAATCTGGCAGATGCCCCAGCTAGGCCTCATAGCTTGAAGCTGTATTAACTTAATAGTATAAGCTAACACTGTCTTCCTTAGGAGAGCCTTGTTTTACCTTGTATACCACATAACCATGGTTTCATGGTAAGTGAAAGGCCCCAGCTCGCTGCAAGGAGGAGGATACCCCCCGCCTTGCAGATAAGGACCTCTTACCCTCTGTCTCGTCTCTCAGTGTTAAAGCCACCCAGGAAGAAGAAAAATGCCTCTGGACTATGAAGATAACATCAGAATCCTGGTACTTTCAACACCTCTGGCAAAACCCTGCCATTATCTGGTATAGGTGGCTGTAGCAAGACCAGCTCCGGGACACCTAAATCGAGAAAGAATCAGCTGGATGGTGACACCATAGATTTGTTGCTGTTTTCCAGAATAGCAGCATGAATGTGGGTTATGTGGTGAGTGGTGGAATGATGTTGTATATAAATGCATGAAAGGGATAAGAGCCATTTGTTAAACACTGTGTGCCCTGATTTGAATGCGACACTTCATGCTCATGAATGAAGAACTACTCTTGTAATTCTGTACTTTGCATCCTTGCCTCTCTCCTCAATCAGCTCAGACCAGTTGGAACATTTTTATGACGTTCAGGTCACTTGCTGTGCTGTGCCCCTTGCTCACATATAACCCTTACCTGTCCACATAAGCCAATCTTCATTTTAAAAAGATAATTCAGACCTTTGGGTAAGAGCCACAGACAGCTTGTAACAGAAAAAATTTTCAGTGTTCCCAGCTGGGAATCATGCCTCGAGCACCCATTGCTGATGAACATATATGATCTTTTGGCTACCTAAAGGTACTCCATCTGTGTGAATGGCATCGTTCCCACTATAAATTGATGTGCTCTTACCCTGGAGCAGTTTTCCTTCACAATGATGGATGAAATAGATGAAGAGTAATGTTGTGAAGATTACCAATGCCGAAAACTCACCTTCATTACTGATCAAATTCTTCCTAAAACTTAATCATAACATGATTATTCTGAGGGAAAACAAAAATCAAAACACAACAACAACAACCACCAAAAAAAAAATCAAAAAAGAAACTATTACACAGGGCAATTGTTAACATTTCAACCTAAAGTTGCTCTAACCTGAATAGAGATATTTGTAGCAGAAACTGGGTGTTGTCTGGAAGGAGAAAGAAACATGTTCCAGGTAAATCAGAGAAGATCAGATCTTTGAAAACAATCTATATGTCAATAGGAGCAGGTAACACTGAAAATAATGGACTTGTTAATTGGACTGTTAATATGTCTATTAAGGGGAAAAGAAAAAGTGGAGAACTTGTTGTTTTATAAATATTTAAAAATAACAAAAATCAGCCTCTGGCTCTATTCCATGACAAATTTCATATATATATTTATGTCTATGTGTAAAAGACCTAATAAGCTGTGACAACTTTTTACTGATTTGAAGAATTAATTTCAGTGGGGAAAAAAAAAAAACCAAAACAAAACAAGAAATTTAAAGGAAACCATGTTCTTGGTAAGTAAAATGGAAGTATTAGAAAAGAATAATAGTGTGATCAATGAAGGTTTCATATGGAATGAAGAAGAATCAGTCAGTAATATTGTCTTCCATTTGAGTACCAAGCATTTGCATTTCTGCAGTGGTACACATTTAATGACCAGTCTTTAGCCCTGTAGTCCTGCCAGGCAGGTTATATTTTTTCTATTCAGGAATGTTATGTAAACGTAGGTTGTGGAACAAGGGCAGTGGTCTTTTTTTTTTTTTTTTTTTTTTTTTTGAGAAAGCACATTGCAGGAGGAAATGCAGGCAGTTGTGTGCTGGACTTCCCAGCTGAAAAGTCTTGACCTAGAGATATTACCTGACTCTTTTGCCAGAATATCAAAAGATAGATAGATAATGAGTCTTTGTGATGAACTACATTCTGTGTGGATAAACATACCTATGGGAGTCCTAACTTTGCATAATATGGATTTAAATAAAATCCAATATGGATGTATTACAGAAAGATCATTAGAAGTCTGCAAAATTATTCACCTTCTTCAATGCTGAATATTGCACAATGGCGTAGAATTCCTCTTGGATTTTCTGATGTCTGTGTTGTGTTGTTGTTGCTGTTTATAAATTATCACAGGAGCCACCAGCTGTCATCCTATAAATTTTATTGGCACTCTGTAAATATTAAATCAGCCTACTAAAATCAAGCCATGTGCAGTAACAGCTGAGGCTCTGTTATGGGGAAACACGTGCAAGAAAGAGGTGTGCACTGTGACTCCCACGATTCTTACAGCTTACAAGCCCTTGCTTCTTGAGGCTATTTTCCAGGATTCATTTTTAGCCCAACTGTGCCCCTTGACCAACATGCAGAAGGGACATTTTCTGTGCACAGATACATACTGAGCTGCGAAGTCAGCCTTCTCAGCAGTACTCAGTTTCCTGGGTCCTTCTAAAATTTGTTGCTACCACATTTCTGCAGCAGCGCTGCATTGCTCACTTTCATGCAAACTTTGGTGACGTACATAGAAGACAGTTCTCATCTCTAGAATGGGAACAGAATTCTTGATGTCATGAAGATCTACATCATGAAGAAAAAAGTCTGTGTCAATGAAACAGCATGCTGAAACAAAGCCTGTTGTGGCTCACAAGTCAGTATGTGAGATATTGAGGCTGTAGGTATTAAAGGAAAATATGTCTTAGGCTCCATTTTCTCTCTTAGTTAATAGCCAGAAAAATCAAAGGCAAGGTGTGTTTTCTAATCTGCCTGCCTCAGTATGGTGAAATGTAGACATGGTGAAATCTCCTGGTCCTGCATCCCAGATAGATTAAGTGGGGTACTAAGGTAGACCAGGCAGTAGTCTAATTTAGGGAGTCAGTTTTCATTAGGCACTTCAGTGATGTGAGGAGTTCTGCTCAGATAATATCCAGATGCAAATGTCTTAGTTCTTATAATGCCTCTCTTCCTCCAAGGGTTGCTGTCTTTACACCAGGCAGGGCAACAGACTGCTTGAATCTTCCACATCTTTGCAGTGAGGTGAGTTTGGAAAAGCTTCAGCAGATACAGCCTTGTTCAGAAGGCAGCTTAGGGACATGCCTGCTCAGTTTGAACACCCTGACTGTGGGCTGCAGCCACCAGCAGAATGTCAGATTAAATGACTGGTAAAAGGAGCAGTTAAACCAGGAAAAATTAAAATGCCTCAGAAAGGCCCTTAGAGAAACATCAGGCTTGCCGTTTTTAATTTATTATTGTTGTAACTATAATTATTAATAGTTATTGTTATTATCATTTCCATTATCATTATGAAATTAGTAGTAGTAGTAGTATTTAGCTTCTGGTTATTTTTTTAATTTTCAAGTGAAAATGCAGTTTGCTGATGCCATGGAGCCTGCGATGCTCTAAACAGGACAATTTTGTTCTCAATGAGGACAGTTAACCTTTTATCAATATTCTTGCATTAGGGCCAGCTACAGAGTCTTTTCATCCCCATTCTTTCTCACTTGAGCAGAAGGTGTGTGCACAGCTGTCAGGGAATGATTCCAGGTGAGCTGAAGTTGGTGGTTACATACCAGATATTCAAGGAGTTAGGTTTAGCACAACAGAAAATGCAAAATATTTATAGTTCTTTACCAGTGTTTCCTGTTTCTGCTGGTAAACTGTCTGATGGAGGACCCAAAGTAGCCCAAGTTCCTCACCTCTTAAAAATGCACCATCTGTCACAGCACACACTTCTGGGTACATTGCACAGGATCTGCTGCTCCAGACTGATCCCTGCAAATCTGTGGGATGGGATTCATCTGAAAATCCTCACAGAGCTAGCTGATGTCATTGCAAAGCCTTTCTCAATGATTTTTGAGTGGTCTTGGGAATCCAGAGCAGTTCCAGCTGACTGGAAGCTGGAAAACATTGTCTGGTTTTTAAGAAGGGCAAGAAAAGAACTTATTTTCCAGAAGACATAAACTGCAGCATCCTGTCAGTCTCACTTCAGTGCCTGGTAAAGTTATGGTGATTTTTCTGGGAGGTATTGAAAAACACCTGAAGGACAACATGGTTATTAGTCACAGCCAGCATGGCTTCATGAGGAGACAGTCCTGCTTATCAAAGCTGATTTCCTATGACAAGGTAACACACCCAGGTGACAAGGAGGGACAGTTGCTGTATTCTTTTTAGGCTTCAGCAAAGCTTTTGATGCTATCTCTCCCAGGATCCTGCTGGACAAAATGTCCAGCACACAGCCAGATACAGACATCATGTAATGGACGAGAAGCTGGCTCAAGGCACAAGGGGTTACAGTGAATGGGATGACATCAGACTGGGGACCTGCCACTAGTGGCATTCCATCCTTGGTCCTTTACTCTTCAACATCTTCATAATGTTGAAGATACTAAGCAAGTTCCCAGGTGATACAAAACCGAGAGGAGTTGATGCCCTTGAAGGCAGGGAGGCCCTGCAGAGAGGCCTTAACAAATCAGGGGTCTGGGCAATCACCAACCGTATGAAGTTCAATGAGAGAAAGCAGTGCCATGGAAGGTGCCGGGGGGTCCTGGTCAGTGAAAAGCTGAACGTGAGTCAGCAGTGCCCTGGCAGCCAGGAGGGCCAGCCCTGTCCTGGGTGGCACCATGCCCAGTATTGCCAGCCAGGCAAGGGAGGGGATTGTCCTGCTCTGCTCTGAGCTGGGGTAGCCTCACCTCCAGTGCTGGGAGCAGTTTTGGTTGCCTCAATATAAGAAAGATACTAAGTTATTAGAGAGCATCCTAAAGAAGCCAGTGAAGATGGTGAAGGGTCTTGGAGGGAAGGAGCCCTTATGAGAAAAAACTGAGGTCACTTGTCTCTTCAGCCTGACTGAGGAGACTGACGGGAGACCTCATTTTGGAAGACAACTTCCTTGTGAAGGAAAGGGGAGGGGAAGACACTCATCTCTTCTCTGTGGTGACCCTTGACAGGACCCAAGGGAATGGCCTGAAGCTGTATGAGGGGAGGTTGAAGTTGGATATTAGGAAAAGTTTCTTCCCCCAGAGGGTGTTTGGGCACTGGAACAGCTCCCCAGGGAAGTGGTCACAGCACCAGCCTGACTGTTCCAGAAGTATTTGGACAACACTCTAAGGCACTTTGTGTGGCTCTTGGGGATATCCTGTGCCGGCTCAGAAGTTAGACACAATGATCCTTGGGGGTCCCTTCCAACTCAGCATATTGTGATTCCAGACATGACTATGCAGCTGGCAGAGAGCTTCTGTCTGAGTAAGAAGTCTTGTTTTGCTGTTGCAGCAAGGAGCGAGTGAGTACAATTAGGAGAAAGCACTGCAAGCGATTTCACCACCTGCCAGTAAAAGCTAGTCAGCTGAGAGCCGGGTTAGTTGTGAATGTTTCACAGGCGGTGAAAAAAGTACCAAGCACAGCATGAAGTGCAGCTTCAGAGACTTTACCCTGGAATATATGGTTGTGCAGAATTCAATAAGAGTTTGATATCAACCAGGTATTTGATGTTTTACAGGCATTAAAGCTTGTATTTAAATAAGCAATAAGGTTGCATTAAATCCACACTTCAAGGAATAGCTGCCTGGTCTGAAGATTTATTTTGCTAAAGCAGTGGGAAAAAAAAGCACTTCAGTTATTTTCTACACAAAGCACACCCATTTGAAAAATAGACAGTGGGACAAATAAAAGGGCAGAAGTGTAGAAATTCTACTTGGAATTGATTAGAATTTTCAGAGAGCTTTGCAACTACAGTCTTGTTCTGTAAGTAGGTTTGCTCAAGGAGTGCTCTAAAATAGGTTGCATTAGCAGCACTTATATTGTCAGAATAGCTGCACTGGAAAAGCTTTCATTACAGAACACATGCAAGCTCTGAGCAGACACTACTAGGGTTTGTTGCTATAATGTTACTACTGAAAGCATCCATATAGTGATATGGATCACACCCCTCACCTTTCTAATCCACAGTGTTCTGCTTGTAGATGCCCAGAGAGCAAATTTCCTTTAAGCCCTAGATAAAACATATTCCTAATTTGGATTTTTTAAACGCTGAGAAATCTGATCCAATTAACACATTGATTGATTTTGCAAAATACTGTGCTAATTACATGCAACCAGTCATTGCTGGGTTAATTAAACATGCATCCAAAAAACCTACAGCACTAATCTAATTAGCAATTACTACAGCTGTCATTACCTCTTTTCACCTACTTTTAAGCTGTGCAAATTCACACCAAGAATCTCTTCCTGCAAACTCCTTACATGAATAGCTTTCTTTGACTGCAGGAATGCTTCAGCACAGAGAAGCTTTAAAAATTAGGCTGAATACTTTGCAGTCCACAATATAGCTTCTATTCAGACATCGTCATGATAAACTCATACTGTATCCGTCAGTTTTGTCAAAATTACAAGATAGGAAGATTTTTCTTTTTAATTGACATGTGATTTTACTGGGAGTGTATGTAGGTCCTACCTTCAAGTGGTTGCCTGCAAACCTAAAAACATACTTGCATTTCAGAAAACAACAGCAACAACAACAACAACAACAACAACAAAAAGGATGAACATTCCTATATATTCAGACAGCTTTAAAACTGTGTCACGTGTTAAAAATTCTGAGTGAAACATCTCAGAAAACTATTGGCTTATTCAGATTGCCAAATTCAGATTTTTGCAGAAAAAATCATCAATAAAGAAAAAAAGGTTGAGAACTTTCATGCTGTATGTGCTTTTCTTCCTTAGGCTTGATTCAAAATATATACCAATTTTCACACACAATACAGGGGTTATAAGACCTTGATTTCTAGTTACTTGGAATGGCATCATATATAGCATATAAACAGCCAAGTATAGTTTTCACATCAGTTCTTCATATAAAAGAATAGAGAGAAGACTTGCTTGAGTTTTAGTACACAATTTTTATTATTTACAAACAGGTTTATATGTAATGAAAGGTAACTATCTATATACTAATTTTTAGTTTGTTCGCTGCAAGTGACCTGCAAAAGCAAACAGCTTCACATCCAGTATCAGAATATAATTCAAATGGAATTTTTAGTAAATATTCAACATGGGCCTTGGATTCCAAAGCCATGCTGCACATGTTTTCTGAAAGAACATTAAGCTATTTCTAATTCCACTGCAGTTCAAATGCATCATTTGAAAACAAGGAGTCATCTATCCCAGCCCTTGAATTTGACCTTGAACGGGTTAAGTCAATAGTGATTTCCAATACCCTAAAAAAGAACTTGGACAGTTTAACAACAGTGGCCCAGATCTGAGAACAGATTTCCAGAGGACTGAAAAAACTGGCATACAAATATGCTGAACTCTTCTGCTGGAAGCTGATCTCTGTCTGGTGTGCCAGATCTGCAAGAGAAGTTGAGGGAGAAGCAGCTGGAGAGAGCAAAAAGCCAGCATTCAGCTAGTAATCACTAGTGCTGTGTTTCCTAGCAGTAGACTCCAATACTTCCTATCAGGGCTCTCTAAGCTCTTCCTGTAAATTTGTTAAGGTATTGCTATAATGATAAAGTCCTTCACAGATTTTCTGTCACACAAATGCCTTTTCTTCTTTAGTTTAAGTGTTGAGAACATTATTTAAATTTTATCTTAGATTCAGTGGCAATGTGAAAATTCATCGGGCTGGAAAATGTGTATTGTCTTTCCACAGTGAATTTAAATAATAACAACAGTGTATTTATCTGGGATGTTTTCTGTAGGAGTATGGCATCTTTTATTTTTTCTTCTCCATCTGCAGTTGAACACTTTAAGTAAAAATAAAGATGCAGAGTGAATGCAGGCATGTGGGAAAGAGAGCAAGTGGTTTCTATGGTAAAATACCCCTTACCGTTATTCATTGGTGTAAATTGTGTGGTATATTAGTTTTCAATGAAAAGTGAACTCCAACTGAGATCGATCGGTATGACATTTACTAGTCACAGCTTTCTAAGTACCTCACGTCCATTTATGTTTTACACTCTCCAGCCATTATCTTGCTGTAAAAGTAGACCTGTTTTTGTAGGGAACAGACTAAAATCTCATCTTTGTTGCCAATAGAGCTATATTGGCACTTCTCACAAGGAAAGGCAAGGAAAACAAGTCAACATTTGGCTTTTACACAGATAAATAATGTTAATTCAGTATTTGTTTATCAATATCCTAGAAACAATGATAGGAAAGTTGGAAAATTTTTAAAGTCTTCCCTTGTTAAAGACCTTTACACATAAGCCCAGTAATTTCACCTCATTTTCCTTAACAGCTGCAAGGAAACATTTGTTGCACTTTAGGTAAAGTTATTGTTGAAACAGAGATCATGTAGAAAGTCTATATTTTTAATGTCTTTTTGTAGTAGAGTGATGACAACTTCTTTGAATTTTTTTGTTGGCAAATTCTTATGATCAAGTTAAGAGGTACTTTACGCAAATTAATTGTGCTCATGTACATTTTCGTACAAGTCTGACAGTAGAGATCCAACCACGGGGTCTTTAATGTTCCGACTTTCACATTTACACTCTTCTACAATCATGATTTCTTTGACCACTGGAACAGAATCAGTGCAGTTGAGCTCCAGGCGTTTCATGGAGAACTTGCTGGGCAGGCAACGAGAGCAAAAGGTATAAAGATGATCTTCTGAACTAGGAACATGGAAAGAACTACATTTTCCAAAACACAGATTATTCTGTACTGTCACCTTCTCACAGCTGTTATGAGTAACACCCTGAAACAGAAAAGCAGTTTAATGTTTCTGATGCAGAAATGGCCCATGGACTTTGCTAGAAGGCATAAGGAAAAAAAAAAAAAAGAAAAAAAAAAGCTACTGCACTTTTTTCTTCTCAAAACAAATAGTACAGTTTTCTAGACAACATCTGTAAGTATGTATGTCTGTGTGAAATAAATTTCGTTTTGGATGTGAAAATACATGGTCTTTGACAGATCATGATTACAGAAACACTGAGAATTGATGGTGATTTACAATAATTACAGCACTTTTACCTATGCTGTTTGCTTGTCTTAATGTTACAGAATGGCTTCATCTATGCATGGGGCAATTTACCAGTTCTCCGAAATTCTTAGCATAGAATTAGACATAAGCATCAGTTTTCTAAATACAGAAGAAAACAATCCTTGTTTAGGTGTAAGAGAACCACCAGCTTTTCCTGTAAATATTTGTTCTGAGAATCTGTATATGCACACACACACACACACACACACACACACACACACGTGTGTGTATACACATACATATGTATATCTATACATATATATATATATATAAAGTGAGAGAGACAGATCACAATTCAGATGTACAAACAGTCAAGATGTATATTTATTGAATGGATAACTGCTCATCCATTTCCTGCCTGCTTACACCATGTCCCAATATCTGTGCATAAAAATAATAAATAACTCTATAAAAATTGAGTCTGCAGCTTTCCAGTGTTGCAGTTTAGCAATTTGCCTCATCAGACTAAACTTTTTCATCACAGTCTTTCAGCCACTTTTGAGCAAGTGTTCTGAAGCCCTTTGACTAAGCCACTTAAATCACCCATGTCCCTTTAGTTGCTGATTACAAGAGACGGGGGAAAGGCGTGTTTGTTGATCTTGGATACTTGTTCTTACCTGGGCAAAAGGCAGGGTTCTGCAGTTTTCTTGGTGCATTTCATTGGTCTTGATTGGCAGGACAACCTCTTCAGATGCTGAATTTTTCTTTAACATGAAATGGTCCCAGAATTTCTTGGCATCTTTTCTGTAGGGAACTTCAGACTCTCTCTTGCTGGAATAGTGGGGTGGAGAGAGGTTTTCCACAGGAGAGGTCTCTCTGGTTGCAACCCAGGTTCTTGGGTTGTGGTCTGCATGGAGTCCTGCACTGGGAAGTATGAATCTGGACATTTTTTTCTCCTCTTTCTTCTCATTTCCAGATGCTGTCTGTGGAATTGATACAAAAAAGCTTGGTACTTTCAGGGTCTCTTCAATTCCTACTGGGTTCTCGCTTATCCGCTCAGGAGAATTTTGACTTTCAAACAGATTTTTGTCCAGGTTGAGAAAGTGCTGAAATGGCCCTCTGCTTCTCCTTTGCTGTGAATTTCTCTGTAGCTCTGTGGCTCCAAGACATGAGAGCACTAACATCTGAAGGAGAAGCAGTGACATGGTCCTGGAAAGGGCAACCCTGTAGATCTGCTGCTATTGCAGTGAATGTAGTGTGCTACCTTTATACAAGAAGAGATTATGGCAGAGGAGAGGAGGGCTCAGGGGAGACCCTGATGGGCTAATTGCATTCATTTACTGTAGATTACAATTATGATAGGGAAGTTTGTGCTAATGAAATTCTGCTTTCAATCTGAGTTATGTGTATTAGAAGCTCCTATCTAAAATCTAGTAACCCAGGATGTTGTGGAGGACAGAAGGAATCAACAGGAGGAAATGTTTGGATAAGGTGTCTAGTTTAGGCTGAGGAATTAAGTAAACATTTGAGGTTGTGTATTAGAATGTTCAGTGTGGTCTCCATTGTTTATTTTTACTTTCCATTCCATACAACCAGAGACTATCAAAACAGGGAGTGTTATTTCTTTACAATAGGAAAAGGCAAGCTGATTAAAGTATGCTGAAAGAGCAAGCTCAATCTGGAGACTGCGTTTTTAAAATTTAAGTCTAACTTTGGACTTTCAGGTTTGGGATATGACCCTAGGTCTGCACGACTGACAGACTGCTGCTCAGACAGTCAGAGGAATCTGTCAGGAAGCACTAGTCCTCACTTCATCTTCCTCACAGCAGGTTGGCAGCTGCTGGAGTACAGACATGTCACCAGCACAGAGTAGAAGGTCTCAAGGTGAAGAAACTCTGCTTCCTGGGTTTTCAAAGCCTATCTTACAGTGCCACATCCTGTTCAGGCACCAAAGCCATTCCAGACGTCCTATAAAGTAATAATGATAAATGAATATTTAAATAAAACTTGTTAAAAATAGATATTTATGATTCTAGCTATCAAAGTCTCAACAGAAATACCTAAAGACTACTAGACTTTAAAATGGAGGCATCTTTGCGTAATTACCATGTTATGCAACATGTAAGAAAAAATAATCTTCTAGAACAGCATATAAAGAAAAGTTTTGGGAGAGGGAAAAGTTGTTTTCAATAAACATTGCAAAAGTAATCCTAATCTTAAAATACGAAAAAGAAACTCTGTTTCAGATAATTTGCCATTTAGGTACACTAATCTTCACACACTCCTGTTTCTACAAAACTCTATCAATATACTCTAAAGTTTGTATTATTCTTGAAAAATTGTATAGATGCATGAGGTTACTTGGCTTTAATTTTCAGGGAATTAATTTCTTGCTTAGAACTGCACTTTGAATCCACACCATAATTGTGTTCAACAATTTGAACTGAAGCAGTTGACTTTTGTAGCTAAAATAACTTGTATTTGATATGTACTGGTAACAGTCACTCAAAACTATTCAGCAATGACAAGAACATTAAATTTTGAGTTTTCCTTCTTTTTCTCTCTGTTTTAGTTGCTGAAGAGCCCAAAGACTGGGCTGATATTCAGACCTATGTATTATACTGTATTATGTTGTATTATGTTGTATTATATTATATTATGTTGTGTTATGTTGTGTTAGGTTGATACAGAGAATCTGCCAATGCCTTTCAAACATGAAATTTGGATTTTTGAAGCAAGATACATATTTGCAGGTCATCTAAGGGTGTCTCTAATAATGCATAGATAAAAAGTAAATTGTAGAACAGGAATGATTTGGCTTCCCAGACTATCTAAACTAAACTGGCCTGGGTTATTGCTGCACTGTAACTGTTAACAATAAATGTATAAAAATCTTAGTATTTACATATATGTAGAGATGTTTTGCTGCTAATGTTACATTGTAGTGCAATGGCAATGAAAAAAAAACCTCTTCGAGATCAGAATCACCTCCTACTACATACCATTCTGTCCTGTAACATACAGCAAGAAGAGAGATCTTTGAGACCTTCAGATGTAAATGCACAAATTATTATTTACAGAAGGATAGGGAAGAAGACTGAAGCAAAGTGGTGTCAGCAAGTCACTCTGCAAGCTGCTCTGAAACCCAAAGGCTGGTAAAAGAGCTCTCTTCACTTCTAGTTGCACTGTTCTAGTTCTAGTTCTAGTTCCTGGGGTCAGGATGGTGTTACCTAAGATCTGGTGAGACCAAAAAGCAGCATGCCAGCTCTGGTTCTGCTAAGAAAGTATAACACTGTTCCTTCATGCCTATAATGTCTGCTTTCCAAGAGGCCAAGGTGGTAAGATATGGGACGTGGTACATCTGTGCATGGTTTGTTCAATTTCTAAATACTACTATAATCTGTTTTGAAATCGGCTGCCTATATAACTGTGTAGAGGTAGCAGGTCTCTCCTCAACCTCTCTGCTTAGGCGAGAGCCTGCCTGCATTACAAGAAGGCATCCCAGCTCAGACAGCAAGGTCAGATAATCATTCTGAAGTTAAAAATAGCAAGCATTTGCAAGTCTCTTTGTGGTGACATTGACTGCATAGACTAATAATTGACAACTGGCATTGGATTGGGCACATAATCATTATGTTCCAAATAGACCTAATCTCAGCTTTCTACAAAAAACCCCAATGCTGCTTCTTTTCTAAAAACTTGTTTTCCTGCCTGATTACCCTTTCATATAACATGTTTTCAATGTTTTCTAGTTATTAAATCTTACAGCTATATGCAGCAGTGTCTTTCAAGCAGGCTTTAGTTTGCCTTCATAATAGCAATTTATTCAGGACATTCTGTTTTCACTAGAAATAGTCACTGTGAATGTTTGCCCATCCTTTTAAAACTGTCAGGTCTATAGATGACAAGTGCTATGCAAATGCAAAATTATTCATTTGTTTCAAAGCTGGAGTTTATTCAGTCATTAATGGACATTATCTACACTGCCAGTTGATGCCTAAAAATAATTCTTGGGCAGTGCTTGAATTATTTGCCTTCTGTTGAGCTAAATAGTCTCATCATACCATGACTGATAATAAAATCATTAAAATTGATTTTATATATACAGTCCAATTCAGTATCTTGTAATTTTCGAAACACATCTGATGTAGACAAACTTGTATCCAGATATATCTTTCACAGACCCCATATGAAGACCTCAGAACTAATGAATTATCACTATGCAGTTTATTCTCCAATAATTGTTCTTATCAAAGAAGGCCATCTGTGGTCTTTGTTTTACTGAGTTTTAGGGAAGCAGATCACATATAGGCCTCATGGGAAATTTTTAATTATGAAACCAAGAGTCTCTTAACAAGGTATGAGATGAAAGAACAGGCATGTACCTCAAATTTAGTACCTTTGAACTCCCCTATGTTTCAAGTCATCTGTTGCACTGTTTCTTTCTCCACTCATTTATGTTTTCCTGTTAACATTTCTGTTTCTTTTCTGTGTTCTGGCAACAGAACTAAGAACAGCATTAAGTTTCATGTGTCAGCCAAAATGAAGGTGCTCACACTTTAGAACATTTTTTTATGTCTTCAGTGGGGCATGGATGAGCATCCTTTCACATCTATTGGACCATGTTCTCCTGGCTGTATGTACATACAGAGGACACAGTGAGTGGTTCTGTCTCTGAATGGTACTGGCACATATGTACTGCCTAATTGACAGTGTACCCAATTCCAGACCCAGCCCGTGGAGTTCTCCTGGTTATGTAATTGATTGCAGCAGATTGCTAAGGCGTGGCACAGGGAGAAAGACACTGGGAAAACCTGTGGGACAGGAAAAAGGAGGCTGGGCAAAGACACAATTTGGGAAGATACATCTTCCTAGATTGTTGTGAATAATTTGAGAGAGTTTATTACTGAAGAATTTGACACCACCAAAAAAATTTTTCTAATATAATTCAAGGAAGATGCACACAAAATTTCTTTAGTTAAAATAAAAATAGATATAAACTTAACTTAAAATTTCTTCTATGTGCATAAAATTATATTCTTTTGCTCACTCTGATTATATGCAATCAACCAACATCTGCCAGTTCCCTCAGCACCTGTGTGTGCATCCCATCAGGGCCCATGGATTTATGGTTTTGTCTGCCTAGCCGATCTCTAACCAAACCCTCAATGGCCAAGGGCAAGTCTTCTTTTCTCCAGCCTTCCTCTCTTGCCTCCAGGGTCTGGGATTCCTGAAGGATGGCCTCAGTAGTGAAGTCTGGGACAAAGAAGTAATTCAGTTACTCTGCCTTCTCTGTATCTTCTATCACCAGGATGCCCACAATATTCCTATGGGTTTCCCATACAGCCTCTCTCTTTTAACACGTTCCATAAATTTCTTCTGTTTGAGATTTGCTAAAAGCTTTCTGCTCATCCCTGTAGGTCTACTGCCACCGTTGTTTGATTTCTTGCTCCTGGCAATACATTTGTCTCTTGAGTTGGGAGGAATGCTGAATACTGACCAGCTCTCCCAGATTCCCTTGTAACTCTAAACCATGGGAATCCTTCTATTAGGTCCTGTTGATTAGGACTACTTCTGATTGAAAACTATACAGTACCTCAATGCCAACATAAAAAAGCCTTGGAAACAAGAGCTATTTTGTTGATATCACTTAAGTGTACTGATACCGAGAACAATATTTAAGTAACACAGAATAGAGAGTTATCCATACTACAGTCAGCATAGCTTCTTAAAGGGTAACAAGGGAGAAAAACTTCTTCTCAAGAATGAAGTTTCTGAGGGACAAGGACTTTTTCACATCCTTCTTTAAATCAAGAATCATATTACAATTCATTTTTATATATTGGCAGTCTTACTTGAATTCATTCTTCTTCTTCTTCTTGTATATCTGCTTGCAGACCTATACCTTTTCTTATATTTATTTCTCAAAATATACAGAATTTTCTCTGTTATATGTGGTTAACTCATGGTACAAATGTCTTCACAGTATTCAGTCAAGGATAGGCCCAAACAGAAGAAAAAATTGAATTTAGAAGCTGATTAGAGTAAACAGGAGGTACATTGTGCTTAACTCTAAGCGCATTTATATTATAAATTTATATTATTTATTTTATAAATATAAGATAGATAATATATATAAATATAAATTATTTATTTATATTTATATATAATGTATAAATATATACCTATAAATAACAATAAATAA